CCCATCTTTTCTCTCATTGCTGTCTTTTCTCTCTGGTCATTCCCATCTTTTCTGTCATTCCCATCTTTTCTCTCTGTCATTCCCATCTTTCCTCTCTGGTCATTCCTATCTTTTCTCTCTGTCATTCCCATCTTTTCTGTCATTCCCATCTTTTCTTTCATTCCCATTTTTTCTCTCTGTCATTCCCATCTTTTCTCTCTGTCATTCCCATCTTTTCTCTCATTCCCATCTTTTCTTTCTGCTCATTCCCATCTTTTCTTTCTGCTCATTCCCATCTTTTCTTTCTGTCATTCCCATCTTTTCTCTCTGATAATTCCCATCTTTTCTCTCATTCCCATCTTTTCTCTCTGTCATTCCCATCTTTTTTCCCATTCCCATCTTTTCTCTGTCATTCCCATCTTTTCTCTGTGGCCATTCCCATCTTTTCTCTCTGTCATTCCCATCTTTTCTGTCATTCCTATCTTTTCTCTCTGTCATTCCCATCTTTTCTGTCATTCCTATCTTTTCTCTCATTCCCATCTTTTCTCTCTGTGGTCATTCCCATCTTTTCTCTGTGGTCATTCCAATCTTTTCTCTCTGTCATTCCCATCTTTTCTCTCATTCCCATTTTTTCTCTCTGTCATTCCCATCTTTTCTTTCTGTCATTCCCATCTTTTCTCTCTGTCATTCCCATCTTTTCTTTCTGTCATTCCCATCTTTTCTCTCTGTCATTCCCATCTTTTCTTCTCTCATTCCCATCTTTTCTCTCTGTCATTCCCATCTTTTCTTTCTCTCATTCCCATTTTTTCTCTCTGTCATTCCCATTTTTTCTCTCTGGTCATTCCCATCTTTTCTCTTTCATTCCCATCTTTTCACTGTGGTCATTCCCATCTTTTCTCTCTGGTCATTCCCATCTTTTCTCTCTGTCATTCCCATCTTTTCTCTGTCATTCCCATCTTTTCTCTCTGTCATTCCCATCTTTTCTCTCATTCCCATCTTTTCTCTGTCATTCCCATCTTTTCTCTCTGTCATTCCCATCTTTTCTCTCTGGTCATTCCCATCTTTTCTCTCCAAAGGCTGCCTGGAATCTGCTCTATCCCTAATTTGGCCCTAATACCTGACCCAAGCTCAAATCCATAAACCTCACTCTGAGCTTAACTCTTGGATTGGGAGGGAACTCAGGTTTAGAAACCAAAACTTCCCAAAGGCAGGGCCAAGGGTGGGGTTGCCACAGTGCATTAAAAATATCTGCATTTGCTGTAAAACCCCAGGAAATTCCAGGAAAACAACCCTGGAATTCCCAGAGAGGGACTTGGTCCCTCTGCTTTCCAGGGAAACATTTGAGGGACAGAAATTTGGGTTGGACTTCCATCCTTATATTTAATTTTAAGCTGAAGGAGGGCAGGGATGAATGGGATTTTTTGGGAAGGAATTCCTGGCTGGGCTGGGATTCCCAGATTTGCTGTGGCTGCCCCTGGATCCCTGGAATGTCCAAGGCCAGGTTGGATCCACCTGGGACAGTGGGAGGTGTCCCTGTCCATGGATGGGGTGGGATTTAAGATCCTTTCAATCCAAACCATGCTGGAATTCCATGATTTAACACTAAAAGATGTCCCATGGGTTGGATTTGGATCTCTTGGGCTGAGGTGGCCCTGCCAGTCTCCAGCTCTGTTGGGTTTTATCAAAACTGGGCTGGCAAAATTTGGGATCTGAGGGGCAGGGGATTTGGGCAGCTGTGGAGATCCTGGAGTTTTCCATTGTCCCTTTCAGCCTCAGAGCCCAAAGAACATCCAGAGGATTCTCCAGGGGGGATTTCTGGGCAGGGGCATCACAGGTGGCTCAGCTCAAAAAGAAACCTTTGTTTCAGGTGCTCCTGGCCTGTTCTGGTCTCTCAGGGAACACAAAATGCTGGGAAAAGGGAAAAAAGGTTGGAATAGAAACATTTCAGGTCCTGCTGGGGTGTTTTTGTCTCTCAGGGGACACCAAAATGGGTGGAAGAATGAAAAGAAAGGTTGGAATAGAAACATTTTGGGCTTGGTTTGTCTCTCAGGGAACACCAAAATGGGTGGAAAAAGGAAAAAAAGGTGGACTAGAAACATTTCAGGCCTGGTTTGGGCTGTTCTGGTTTATCAGGGAACACAACATGGTGAAAAAGGAAAAGAAGACTTGAAATAGAAACATTTTAAAACCCAATTTGCTGTCTGGTTTACAATCTGTCCCTTTGTCCCGGGAGGGTGTTTTTGGGGTCAGATTTTGGATATTCCTGGTAAATCCTGGCAGGCAGAGCTGGGGATGCTGAGCTGGTGTGTCCAGAGGACATTTTTGGGGTCAGATTTTGGATGTTCCTGGCAGCAGAGCTGGGGGTGCTGGGCTGGGATGTCCAGAGGGTGTTTTTAGGGTCAGGTTCTGGATGTTGCTGGTGGATCCTGGCAGCAGAACTGGGGGTGCTGGTCTGGGGGTGCTGATCTGGGATGTCCAGAGGTCATTTTTGGGGTGAAGTTTTGGATGTTCCTGGCAGCAGAGCTGGAGGTGCTGGGCTGGGGGTGCTGATTTGGTGTCTTCAGGGGACGTTTTTGGTCCCCTGGGTTGGGTTTTGGATGTTCCTGGTAGATCCTGGCAGCAGAAGTGGGAATGCTGAGCTGGGATGTCCAGAGGACATTTTTGGGGTCAGATTTTGGCTGTTCCTGGTGGATCCTGGCAGCAGAGCTGGGGGTGCTGATCTGGGATGTCCAGAGGACATTTCTGGGGTCAGATTTTGGATGTTCCTGGCTGCAGAGCTGGAGGTGCTGGGCTGGGGGTGCTGATTTGGTGTCTTCAGGGGATGTTTTTGGTCCCCTGGGTTGGGTTTTGGATGTTCCTGGTAGATCCTGGCAGCAGAAGTGGGAATGCTGAGCTGGGATGTCCAGAGGACATTCCTGGGGTCAGATTTTGGCTGTTGCTGGTGGATCCTGGCAGCAGAGCTGGGGGTGCTGATTTGGTGTGTCCAGAGGACATTTCTGGGGTCAGATGTTGGATGTTCCTGGCAGCAGAGATGGGGGTGCTGATGTGGGGGTGCTGATCTGGGATGTCCAGAGGACATTTTTGGGGTGAAGTTTTAGATGTTCCTGACAGCAGAGCTGAGGGTGCTGATCTGAGGGTGCTGGGCTGGGGGTGCTGATTTGGTGTCTTCAGGGGACGTTTTTGGTCCCCTGGGTTGGATTTTGGATGTTCCTGGTGGATCCTGGCAGCAGAAGTGGGAATGCTGAGCTGGGATGTCCAGAGGGTGTTTTTAGGGTCAGGTTCTGGATGTTCCTGGCAGCAGAGCTGGGGGTACTTGGCTGAAGGTGCTGATTTGGTGTGTTCAGGGGGCATTTTTGGGGGTCAGATTTTGGATGGTCCTGGCACCAGAGCTGAGGGTGCTGATCTGGGGGTGCTGGGCTGGGATGTCCAAAGGACATTTCTGGGGTCAGATTTTGGATGTTCCTGGCAGCAGAGCTGGGGGTGCTGGGCTGGGATGTCCAGAGGGTGTTTTTAGGGTCAGGTTCTGGATGTTGCTGGTGGATCCTGGCAGCAGAGCTGGGGGTGCTGATCTGGGAGTGCTGGTCTGGGGGTGCTGTGTTGAAAGTGCTGATCTGGGAGTGCTGAGCTGAAGGTGCTGATCTGAAGGTGCTGATCTCAGGAATGCTGATCTGGGGGTGCTGATCTGGGGGTGCTGATCTGGGGGTGCTGATCTGAAGGTGCTGATCTGGGGTGCTGATCTGGGGGAATGCTGATCTGGGGGTGCTGATCTGGGGTGCTGATCTGGGGGTGCTGATCTGAAGGTGCTGATCTGGGGGAATGCTGATCTGGGGGAATGCTGATCTGGGGGTGCTGATCTGAGGGAATGCTGATCTGGGGGAATGCTGATCTGGGGTGCTGATCTGGGGAATGCTGATCTGGGGGAATGCTGATCTGGGGTGCTGATCTGAAGGTGCTGATCTGGGGGAATGCTGATCTGGGGAATGCTGATCTGGGGTGCTGATCTGAAGGTGCTGATCTGGGGTGCTGATCTGGGGAATGCTGATCTGGGGTGCTGATCTGAAGGTGCTGATCTGGGGTGCTGATCTGGGGGTGCTGATCTGGGGGAATGCTGATCTGGGGTGCTGATCTGAGGGAATGCTGATCTGGGGTGCTGAACTGGGGGTGCTGATCTGGGGGTGCTGATCTGGGGTGCTGATCTGGGGGAATGCTGATCTGGGGGTGCTGATCTGGGGTGCTGATCTGGGGGTGCTGATCTGGGGTGCTGATCTGGGGGTGCTGATCTGGGGGAATGCTGATCTCGGGAATGCTGATCTCGGGAATGCTGATCTGGGGAATGCTGATCTGGGGAATGCTGATCTGGGGGATGCTGATCTGGGGGTGCTGATCTGGGGAATGCAGATCTGGGGTGCTGATCTGAAGGTGCTGATCTGAAGGTGCTGATCTGGGGAATGCTGATCTGGGGGATGCTGATCTGGGGGTGCTGATCTGGGGAATGCAGATCTGGGGTGCTGATCTGGGGTGCTGCTCTGAGGGAATGCTGATCTGGGGTGCTGATCTGGGGTGCTGATCTGGGGGTGCTGATCTGGGGTGCTGATCTGGGGGAATGCTGATCTGGGGGAATGCTGATCTGGGGGTCCTGATCTGAAGGTGCTGATCTGGGGGTGCTGATCTGGGGGTGCTGATCTGAAGGTGCTGATCTGGGGGTGCTGATCTGGGGGAATGCTGATCTGAAGGTGCTGATCTGGGGTGCTGATCTGAAGGTGCTGATCTGGGGGAATGCTGATCTGGGGTGCTGATCTGAAGGTGCTGATCTGGGGTGCTGATCTGAAGGTGCTGATCTGGGGTGCTGATCTGGGGGTGCTGATCTGGGGAATGCTGATCTGGGGGTGCTGATCTGGGGGAATGCTGATCTGGGGTGCTGATCTGGGGTGCTGATCTGGGGGTGCTGATCTGGGGTGCTGATCTGGGGAATGCTGATCTGGGGGTGCTGATCTGGGGTGCTGCTCTGGCTGTCCCTGCAGGTCTGTGTACGATGGGGAGGAGCACGGGCGCTTCATGGAGAAGTTGGAGGCGCGGATCCGCAACCACGACCGCGAGATCGAGAAGATGTGCAACTTCCACTACCAGGGCTTCGTGGACTCCATCACTGAGCTCCTCAAGGTGCGGGGAGAGGCCCAGAAACTCAAGGTGAGATGTTGGGAAGGGTGAGAGTTTGACAAGAATGTCTCACAGATGCTTGGCAGAAAGATTTTTAAATGTGGAGTCTGATGAAGGAATAGAAATTAAAGCAAGTTTTGATATAGAAAAGAATTGCTGAGCCAGCCTTGCTGGATAACCAAGGAGGCAAAGGGTGTGTGAGTTAGAAGGGGTTTTTATGGCTTAGAGCAAAGGATAAACCCACCCCAAACAAGAAGATGTTTTTACCAAGCAGAAAGAGAGCACAGGCAAACAAGGCAGCAAAGCTGCAAGCAGAAAAAAGGTCTCAGAATTTTGCACTGCAAGAAAACTGAAAAACAACTTCTAGCTAAAACTGTGATGTACTGACTGTTAGTGATTGGAGAACAGTAACATGAATATGGTAATTACAGTAGTTATGATGGGCTAGAGATAAAAGTTAAGGTATGGATTGGTTCTACTGTATTGAGATGCTCAGCAAAGGAAAGTATATAATGCAATGTAACCAAAAGAAAAGTATAGAATGCATTTGTAACCTAAACTAAGGGTCTGCAGGGCTGCCTGCAGCTGGAGCTGACAGCTGTGGGCACAGCTCTGTCACCCCGACCCTGGGCTGCTGTGACATCTTGGATGTAATAAACTGCATTTTGGAGAGCTGCCTGGAGTCCCACATCCCTCATTCTGGCTCTTACAGTGAGGGAAAATACAGGCTGGATATCAGGGAAAAGGGTTTTACAGGAAGGGTTGATGTCTTGGGAAGGCTGCCCTAGAGCAGAGGCTGGACAGAGTTACAGAATAAAGCAGGGATTTATTCAAAGCATCTCCTCCATGGATGCACCTTGGGCAGCACAAGAGCCCAGCCAGGGCTGCACCCAAGATGAATCAAAATGGTCCCAAAATGGACCCAAGATGAACCCAAATGGTCCCAAGATGGACCCAAGATGAACCAAAATGGCCCCAAAATGCACAAGCACTCCCAGGATCTCTCCCTGGGATCAGTTCTGCTCCATTTGCATCTTGCAGTTCATTGTCCCATTCCAGCTTTAGCCCCTGCAGTCCCATCCTTGTTTTTCTCTCTCCAGCCCACGGGGTTTGTGCTCTTGGGCTGAGATTTGGATCATTTGTCCTTGGTGCCCAGCTGGAGCAGGAATTGTTTTGTCTCCCTGCTCTGTGCACAGAGCTCAGCATCCCCTGATGTGAAGCCCAGACCCACACACTAAAGCAGCACAGAATGTGAAAATATAAAAGCTCAAACCTGAGGCATGAGGGTGAGAAAGTTCTGGAATGTTCTGCCCGGGGAGGTGGTGCAGTCCCCATCCCTGGGTGTGTTTAACAAAGCCTGGGTGTGGCACTGGGTGCCAGGGTTCAGTTGGGGTGCTGGGGCTGGGTTGGACTCGTTATCTTTAAGGTCTCTTCCAACCCTGTGAGTTCTGTGAAAATCCTGCCCTGACACTGCCCTGGGCAGCTCTTTTTAGGTGGCCCCATCTCAGGCACTCTGGGATTCTCAGAACCACATCAATCTTTTCTCCTTTTATCCATGACATTTCTATTTAAAAAAAAAAAAAATTAAAATATAAATATTTATTTTAATTGTTCCTGGAGCAATGGGTTGGTCATTGAAAGTTTAGCAATTATTTGGCCAAACTGCACCAGTGTGGTGCATTAAAAGCACCAAGAAACTTCAAGCCAAGCCTGTTTTCATTAGGAAAAGTGCTTTTCCTCATGGATCTTATCCCAGTTTCTTGAGCTAAAATAAGTCTTGTGGCCTTTAAAACTGTGCAGAAAGACGAGGGAAAGGTGGGATTTACCCGGTTCTTGGAAAAGTGCTCAGTAATGTGTGGAAAAAACCATTTGTAGGATGAGAGTTTGGAAGAAGGGCAGGAAGGAAACTGGAGAGGCTTCAGGAAAAGGGAGCAGGAGGTTGGAGGTGCTTGGGGCTCAAGTTTGGTTCCTGTGCCTTAAAATCCAAATATTCCAGATTTGGGGAGCACAGGAGTGTCAAAACCTTCCTGATTCTCCTCCACAAATCCAAGCAGGACAGGGAGAGGTGTCTGGGCCATCCCTTCCTGCAGGAACAAGGTGGGACCTGGGCTGGAAACCCAAAATCCCTCCCAGAAGAGTCACCTGGGGAATGGGGCTGAGTCAGTGGCTCCCAAAAAGGGGTGGTTTGTCCTCAGGAAGCAGCTCAGGGAGCTTTTCTGGCTGAGTGGAGCCTGTCCTGGTGAAAAGTTCTGGCAATTAGGAAGGACTGTCCTGGTGTTTGGGAGTGTGGGAGACTGGAAAAGCTGAAGTTCTAAATCACAGAATCTGTCAGAAAAGCAGATTTTCTGGAGAAAAGGGAAGAACTTGAAGTCAGGGTGCTGAGCACTGCTTTTAACACATTTATTCATTGATTTAAGCTACCTGTGGCATTTCCCAGCAGGGTTCTTATTTGACACATCCAAGTCTCCATCCCAAAAAGGAGTTTCCTCTCAGGAACACCTTCCTGAGGGATGTCCTGAGGAGAATTCACCCAGCAATTCATTGCAGGATGAATCCATTGGAATTACCACGAAATAAGTCCTTTTTTCCCCTTTTTTAAATTTTTTTTTTTTATTTTTTCAAGGCATTGTTTCCAGCCAAGACTTGCACATTGTTTGTTTGCTTGGAGCTGGTTCCCATTCTGCCACCAGCCCCTTTGTTGGTGGCTCACTGTGAAGTCCATCCCTGTCCCCTCAGGATCTCCCTTGATTTCCAGGCCTATGTGATCCATAAAACAGCACATGGCAAAAACATCCCCAGAAAGGCCTTTCTGAAACCCTGGGCCCTCTTTGTGAGGCTTTCCCTGGGGAATCATCTGAGGATCGAGTGCTGAGAGTGGGTTTGGTTCCAGCCATTCATCCTCCATTTGATCTGGGCCTTTGAACCCGTGAGGAGCCAGCGGGGCCCTCCCTGCTCCCTCCTCCTCCTCCTCCTCCTCTCGTGTGCTCTGGGCTGCTCTGGGGGTTGGTTTTTTGCAGAAATGTCCTTTTTGCTGTTGTTTTAGCTCGATGTGGATGTGTCACCTTCTGTGGCTGGGCCTCTCAGAGTGGCCACAAATGAACTAAACCTGAGCAGAGCCTCGGGGCTGCTTTTTCTGTCCTGTTTGTCCCTGAGCACTGCCTTGGGAATTTCATCTCCTTGAGCATCAGCTGGCTGGACACGAGCCTGAGGTGCCCAGGTGGGCAAGAGACCCCTGGGCTGTGCCAGCTCTGGGGTGGCAGCAGGGCCAGGGCAGAGCCACAGTGTCCCTGTGCTGGCACTGCCGGGGCACCTCCAGGGCTGGGGAGAGCCCCAGAGGGGCTGGAGCGTGGCCAGGGCAGGAACAGAGCTGGGAAGGGGCTGGAGAATCCCTGAGGGAGCTGGGAAAGGGCTGGAGAATCCCTGAGGGAGCCGGGCAGGGGCTGCAGAATCCCTGAGGGAGCCGGGCAGGGGCTGCAGAATCCCTGAGGGAGCCGGGCAGGGGCTGCAGAATCCCTGAGGGAGCTGGGCAGGGGCTGCAGAATCCCTGAGGGAGCTGGGCAGGGGCTGCAGAATCCCTGAGGGAGCCGGGCAGGGGCTGCAGAATCCCTGAGGGAGCTGGGCAGGGGCTCAGCCTGGAGCAAAGGAGGCTCAGGGGGCCCTTGTGGCTCTGCACAGCTCCTGCCAGGAGGGCACAGCCGGGGGGATTTGGGATCTTCTCCCAGGGAACAGGGACAGGAGCAGAGGGAACGGCCTCAGGGGAGCTCAGAGTGGACATGGGGAGGAATTTCCTCACGGAAAGGGGGGTCAGGCCTTGGAAGTGCCCAGGGAGGTTTGGAGTGCCCATCCCTGAGGGATTTCAGTGATCTGTGGATGTGGCACTTGGGGACATGGGCAGGGGTGGCCCTGGTGCTGTTGGGCATGGTTGGACTGGGTGATCTTTTCCAGCCATGATGATTTGGGGATTTGTGATTTCCAGCTGCCCTGCTGTGGCTCAGCAAAGAGCTCCCCTCACGTTCATGCCATGGACAGAATGGTGGGATCTTGGCAAGGAATTCCTGGCTGGGAGGGTGGGCAGGGGCTGGGCTGGGATTCCCAGATTTGTTGTGGCTGCCCCTGGATCCCTGGCAGTGCCCAAGGCCAGGTTGGATCCACCTGGGACTGTGGGAGGTGTCCCTGCCCATGGAACTGGATGAGATTTAAGGTTGCCTCCAACCCAAGCCATTCCCTGATTCTCTCACTCAGCTGGGCCATTCCTGGTGGATTTTTATCCCACCTCCCCCAGTGTTGTCCCAGCTGGGGCTGTCCTAACTTGTGCTCCAGGAATCCCAGCTCATGTGGCTGCCAAGCCCTTTTTAATGCTACACCTTTTTGCCCTGTCAATCATAAACCAGAGGTGATTCCTTCTTAATTTTATGGAATCCCAGAATTGTTCAGATTGGAAAATCCCTCTGAGTCCAACCATTGCCAGCACTGCCCAGGCCGTGTCCCCAGGTGCCACATCCATGGATTTAAATCCCTCAGGGATGGGCCCTCCATCCCTGCCAGGGTTGGACAGCACTTTTGGTGCAGGAATTTCCCCTCATGTGTAGGGAAGAAACCTGGGAGCAGTTTTGGGGATTCCAGCATGAAGGATGGCTCTGGTCACTGTCTCTTCCCTTGTGGGTGGATGTCACCAGCAGGGACAGGGACAGATCCAGAGGTGGCTCTGTGGTTGTGTTTGAGGGTCCCAGGATGAGGGAGGAGATGAGAATCTTGACTCCATGTTTCAGAAGGCTGATTTATTATTTTATGATATATATCATATGAAAAGAAAATGATATATTAAAACTATACTAAAGAACAGAAGAAAGGATTTCATCAGAAAGCTTGAATGGAAAGGAAAAAATTATAATAAAATTTTTATTTTTTGATAATAAAAACTGCTCACAGCCTCGACACAGGTGGCTGTCATTGGTTATCAAGTAAAAACAATTCACATGCTGGGTTAACAATTCTCCAAATCACATTCCAAAGCAGCAAAACATGGAGAAGCTGAAACTTCTGAGGTTCTCAGGAGAAAAGATCCCAATTAAAGGATTTTTCAGATAATATGTCTGTGACATGGCTCCGTTCCCAGGGCTCCTCTCCAGCTGCCCTTGCTCCTCTCTCCCAGCGTTCTGCCCCTCTGGGATGATCCCAGGGACTCTCTGGGCCCCCTGCTCCCAGTTCTGGGGTGTGGATGAGGGAACAGCTCACCCCACAAATCCCTGGAGTGCTCCCAGTCCCTCCTGTGCCACCTGCCTGTCCCCCTCTGCACGTCTGGCCTGGCTTAGCAGAGCCCAGCTCTGCCAAGCCCAGCTTAGCAGCACGGGGTCTGTGTAAACAATCATCCAGTTCTCATCCAGGCCTGGAGACTGCAGGAACAATCCCAAACACGACCCCCTGCCCCCCAAAATCCGGGAGCGTGCAGGGCCCCGCTCCAGCCCTGCTTTTCCCTGGAGCTGGGATTGCTGGGTGATTTTAGCAGCAAACCCCCCCAGCCCCAGCCTCAGTTTAGGAGTGGTTTTAAATTACCCGACACGGATTCCTTTTTCCTGGTGGGATTTTTGGGATCTGAGCAAATCAAATAATCTTTGGAGGAGATGCTGGGCTCCTGCTCGTAAAAGCTCCAAACACCATAAAGGAAATGAGCAGGTTTTGGGGAGGGCAGGCAGCCAGCAGGGCTGCAGCTACTGCAGCAGGGCCAGAGATGGGATGCAGATGCTGGAGGGGAAATCATGGAGAACTCCTTTCTTCCATCCTGGGAAGCTTGGGAAGCGCCATGGCTGGTGTGGGAGTGGAAGGGAGCTCTGAGGTTGGGTGGTTCTGCTGCTGGGAGCACCACAGACCTTCCTGGGGGAGGCTGGGCCAGGGGGGAAATTGTGGTGGCCCAGGATCTGTTTCAAAAAAATGGATCCTGAATCAATTTGATGTGGATGAATCCAAAGTTTTCCTTCTGTCTGACCTGGTGAGCTCAGAAAGAATGGAGATTGTGGGATCATGGAGTTGGTGAGGTTGGAAAAGTTGCTCAAGATCTTTAAGTCCAGCCACCACCAAAGCCCATTCCCAGGTGCCACATCCACAGGGTTTTGTACCTTTCCAGGGATGGAGACTCCACTGCAGCTCCTTCCAATGCTGGGCAGCCCCTTCCATGAGGAATATTCCAAATATCCACCCTGAGCCTCCCCTCTGCTCCTGTCCCTGTTCCCTGGGGTAAGATCCCAAATCCCCCCGGCTGTGCCCTCCTGGCAGGAGCTGTGCAGAGCCACAAGGGCCCCCTGAGCCTCCTTTGCTCCAGGCTGAGCCCCTGCCCAGCTCCCTCAGGGATTCTGCAGCCCCTGCCCGGCTCCCTCAGGGATTCTGCAGCCCCTGCCCGGCTCCCTCAGGGATTCTGCAGCCCCTGCCCAGCTCCCTCAGGGATTCTGCAGCCCCTGCCCGGCTCCCTCAGGGATTCTGCAGCCCCTGCCCAGCTCCCTCAGGGATTCTGCAGCCCCTGCCCGGCTCCCTCAGGGATTCTGCAGCCCCTTCCCAGCTCCCTCAGTTGTTTCCTGCTCAATTTCTGCTCCAGGATGGTTCATTTACCTTCCCAATCCCCCTTGGAGCTCCTCCTGCTCCTCCATCCCCATCCTGCTGGAGAATGGGAGAGCCCCACGTGCTGTTCCTTCCCTGGGGTGAAATTTGTTACAAATTCTTTGTTTCCATGATTATTCCAAAGGAAGTGAAGCTCTCCGGCAGATCTGTGAGATCTCCCACTCCTGGAAGCCCTTTGAGGGCTCTGTCTCCCAGCTCTTGGTGTTTTCCAAGCTCTGGGAAAGGTTCTGCTTCCAGAAGGAGCAGAACTCTGGAAATCAGACAGAAATTTGTTCCTAAAATGGGGCAGGAATGCAGCAGCAGCTCCCACTGTGGGGAGAACCTGGATCAGAAGAAACCTTTTACAGGAACAAGCTTGGAAATGAACATTTCCAGCTTTAGGAGCTGCAGAAGGAGATTCTGGGGGAAAAAAGGGGTTTTATGGCATGGAAATCTTGGAGTGATGTGAAATCTCAGAACCCCGAGCAGCCCTGCTGGAATTCCCTCAGGAATTGGCTGTGGTGGCAGAGATCTGGAGCTGAGAATGTTGGCTTGGAAGTTTGGGTTCTTCCAGCTGTCCCAGCCTGAACTCAGGAGAATTCCCAAAGTTCTCTTCCCACTCCTTGGCTGGATAATGGGAGAACTCCTGATTTTCCATTCTGACGAGCCCCAAAATCCCCTTTGTTCTCCTGTGGGTCCTGCTGGGGCTGGGAAAGGCTGGTCTGGGCTTTTCCCACTCCAGGGAATCCTCAGCTTTGCCAAGTGGAAATTTCCACCTCTGAGCCCCAGCTTGGTGGGATAATCCAGAAAATATAGGGAGTTTTTTATCCCAGGTATATAAAAATATCTTACACCAGGCAGGAGCAAGGATCCATCCAGAGGGAAATGAAGATCCCAAAGGAAGTTTTATAAGAAATTCCATGAATATAAATAATTATTTGTAGGGGAAGCTCCTGGTAAAGAACCCTTTGCTGTTGGGATATGAAGGAGTTAAAACTTAAATGGATTTGATTTGGTGATGGGGAAGGGAATTAATTCCTCCCTCACTCAGGTGAAAACTGGAGTTTTCCAAACTGGATCCGTGAAAACTGCAGCGTTTTGAGGCTTCCATGCCTCTGAATTAATTCCTGTTGCCTTTCCCTTTTCTCCAGTGGCAAAGAGGCAAATCCCTGGATTTGTGTCCTTGTTTTTCCCTTTTCCACATCCTCAGGATTTTCTCTGGAGCCTGAGCCCTGAGAAATCCCTGTTAGCTTGAAATGAGGAAAATTCCCTGTCCAACCTGGCCTTGTGTCTTTTTCCAAACTGGATCCATGAAAACTCCAGCATTTTGTGGCTTCCATGCCTCTGAATTAATTCCTGTTGCCTTTCCCTTTTCTCCAGTGGCAAAGAGGAAAATCCCTGGATTTGTCCCCTAGTGGCAGTGGCTGTTAACTCAGCCATAAACAGCTTTTCCATGGGATGGGAGCCGTGGGGAGGGATGGTGTTTATGGACAGTTTGTTTTGGTGGGAAGAACATTGTCCTGATTTATGGGATGTGCTCTGTGCTTTTCCCAATATTCCCACAGAACCAAGTGACAGACACCAACCGGAAGCTGCAGAACGAAGGGAAAGAAGTAAGTGATGGATCCAGCCCTGGAATTACAGCCTGGACTGGGGTGGCAGGGAGAATTCCCTGTCCAGCCTGCTCTTGTGCCCTTGTTTTTCCCTTTTAAACATCTCAGGATTTTCTTGGAGCCTGAGCACTGAGAAATCCCTGTTACTTTTGGGATGTGAGAATTCCCTCCTTGTATCCCTGTTTTCCCTTTTACACATCCTCATGATTTTCTCCGGAGCCTCAGCCCTGAGAATTCCTTGTTAGCTTGGAATAAGGAAAATTCCCTGTCCAGCCTGGCCTTGTATCCCTGTTTTCCCTTTTACACATCCCAGGATTTTCTCTGGAGCCTGAGCCCTGAGAAATCCCTGTTAACTTTGGGATGTGAGAATTCCCTCCTTGTATCCCTGTTTTTCCTTTTCCACATCCCCAGGATTTTCTCCTGGAGCCTCAACCCTGAGAAATCCCTGTTAACTTTGGGATGTGAGAATTCCCTTTCCAACCTGGCCTTGTGTCCCTGTTTTCCCCTTTTTCCCCATCCCCAGGATTTTCTCTGGAGCCTCATGAAATCCCTGTTAGATATGGGATCTGAGAATTCCCTCCTTGTGTCCCTGTTTTCCCCTTTTCCCCATCCCCAGGATTTTCTCCTGGAGCCTCATGAAATCCCTGTTAGATATGGGATCTGAGAATTCCCTCCTTGTGTCCCTGTTTTCTCCTTTTCTCCATTCCAGGTTTTTTCCTGGAGCCTTGTGAAATCCCTGTTAACTTTGGGATGTGAGAATTCCCTGTCCAACCTGGCCTTGTATCCTTGTTTTCCCCTCCTCCCCATCCCAGGATTTTCTCCTGGAGCCTCATGAAATCCCTGTTAGATATGGGATCTGAGAATTCCCTCCTTGTGTCCCTGTTTTCTCCTTTTCTCCATCCCAGTTTTTTTCCTGGAGCCTTGTGAAATCCCTGTTCACTTTGGGATGTGAGAATTCCCTTCTTGTATCCTTGTTTTTCCCTTTTCCATATCCCAGGATTTTCTCTGGAACCTGAGCACTGAGAAATCCCTGTTAACTTTGGGATGTGAGAATTCCCTCCTTGTGTCCCTGTTTTCCCCCTTCCCCCTTTTCTCCTGGAGCCTCATGAAATCCCTGTTAACTTTGGGATGAGGAGAATCCCCCAGGAGCAAGTGGCCACATCCTGCCTTTGGGAACCAAAAAACTGGCAAGAGATGCCTAAAATGGGAAGGGGAAAAGGGGAAATAACATTTTGGAATGCACAGGATGTGCACTTCCATGCCTTTGGGTTTGCTGCTCCCTGTTTGAAATCCAGGGAATTCAGGGAACTTCCCTGGCTGGAGCTGCCCCCATCCCGAGCTCGCCCCTTATCGGGGCAGGGTTTGGGCTCTGCTGCTCTGGGATGGAGCCCAGGGGTGGTTGCTGATCCTGAGGGAGCTTTTCCCCTTTTTCCAGCTGATCCTGGCCATGGAGGAGCTGAGGCAGTGCCGGCTGCAGCAGAGGAACATCTCAGCCACGGTGGATAAACTCACCCTGTGTCTCCCCGGTGAGGAACCTCCTCCTCTTTGGAGCTCTTTGGTGGAATTCCCAATTTTTTGTTTCCTTTTTGGGTTCCCAGCTGTGTGTTCCTGTCTCAGAGCTGTGTTTCCCTTCTCTTCCCAGTGCTGGAGATGTACAGCAAGCTGCGGGAGCAGATGAAATCCAAGAGGTAAATCTGGGCTGGGCTGGGGCTTCAGGGGAAGAGTCCAAGGAATTCTTTGGTGCTGGGTAATTTAAGGAGAATCTCAGCAGTTCAGGGTAAATTTCCTGGGTTTTGGCTGCTTTTCCTCACAGTCCAGCTCATCCTCCTGTGGTACAGCTGAGAATGGGGATGGCAGCAGGTTCAGAGTTTGGGAATTAAGGTGGATGCTCCTTGGTTTTTATGGCAGCTCAGTATTGGGGATGGCAGCAGGTTCAGAGTTTGGGAATTAAGGTGAATTAAGGTTTTCTTGGTTTTTTATGGAAGCTCAATATTGGGGATGGCAGCAGGTTCAGATTTTGGGAATTAAGGTGGATGCTCCTTGGTTCTTTCTGGCAGCTCAATATTCTACATACAACCAAGGTGTTTTACCAACTAAATTTTATTCCATAATTTCCATAAAACAAATCTTAATCCAATCTGAGAGATCCCAGGGAATGTGGAGGGGAAAGAGTCCAAGGAATTGTTTGGTGCTGGGTAATTTAAGGAGAATCTCAGCAGTTCAGGTTAAATTTCCTGGGTTTTGGCTGCTTTTCCTCACAATCCTGCTCATCCTCCTGTGGTACAGCTGAGAATGGGGATGGCAGCAGGTTCAGAGTTTGGGAATTAAGGTGGATGCTCCTTGTTTTTTATGGAAGCTCAGTATTGGGGATGGGAGCAGGTTCAGAGTTTGGGAATTAAGGTGAATTAAGGTTTTCTTGGTTTTCTATGGAAGCTCAATATTGGGGATGGCAGCAGGTTCAGATTTTGGGAATTAAGGTGGATGCTCCTTTTTTTTCTGGCAGCTCAATATTCTACATACAACCAAGGTGTTTTTACCTTGGTAAATAAATAAAATTTATTGAATAAAATTTAATAATTTTTAATTTATTAAATTTTATTAAATATTTTTAATTTAATATTTATTTATTAAATATTTTATTTAATTTTTAGTACATAAAATTTATTCAATTTTATTCCACGAATGCCATAAAACAAATCCTAATCCAACCTGAGAGATCCCAGGGAACGTGGGGGGAATGCAAAGAAATGCTGGAAACATCAGGATGGTGGGAGCTGGGGAGAAAACTTTTTCTGCTGTAGAAATAATTCCTCAACACTCGGTGCCTTGGGGTGCTGGGCTGTAAATCCAGGGCTTTCCCCACCCTGCATCTGCTGAGGGATGAAAATCTGGGATTTTGGCAGGAATCCTGGTTAGCTTGAGCAGCAGGGGGAGATTTTGGAGCCCTGGGGGTGGCAGACTGGGCATGGAGCAGCTGCTGAAGGGGAAGAGGTGCCTGCAGCTGGGTGCCCGGCTGGAGCAGCAATCCCAGCCCTGCTCTGGGATTCCCAGGAGCTCCTGGCTCTTCCCAGGCCTCTCCAGGGCAGGGATGGGCTCTCCAAATGCCCTGGGGCTGTTTTGGGGCTGATCTGCTGGCAGATGTGGGGTGGGAGCTGGAGCTGGCAATTCCTGCAGGGAATCCTCCAGCTGCTCCATGCCCTCCCTGTGGGCAGCATTTCCAGGGGCTGTAGCTGGGAATTGCTTCCCTTTTTTCCCCTCCATTTTTTGGATTGGTTCATTTAGAAACAAACCCACACTGAAATCCACATTTCAGGAATATTGAGAGCCCTGGCTGGGATTTTTCCTGTTTTTTATTTTTTGTCTGGATTTGATGGCTGCATTCAGCAGACACAGCACAGATATTCCATTTTTTTATCTGCCCCAGGTCTCACTTGGGTCATTTCAGGAGGGGCAGCCATGGGGGGGTTCCTGCCATCAGGGCTGGGTTTGGGATTAGTTTAGTTTGTGTTTGGGGGAATAAACTCCACAGACAGGAGGAATTTGGGGGTGTTTCTAAACCAGCTCAGGCTGTTCCCAAATGGAGAATCCATGGCCAGGAGCTGGAGGTGGAGCTGATCCCAGAGGAATGGTCAGGGTGAAGAGAGGGAATTTTTCTCTGAATTGGCCAGAATTTAAGGAGGGGACAGAAAGATTTTTTTTTGCCATGGCTGTGTGGAAAATGGTGGAAAAGTCCAAAATTTCTGGAGGGATCTGGGTGCTCTGGAGGGATCAGACCTTTTTATTTACCCCTGGCTCTGTGTGGTCTCCAAACAGTGAGAAATGGAATTGTAAAATCCTGGAAGGGTTTGGGATGGAGGAGACCCCAAAGATCACCCAACTGCACAACTTCCACACCCCAGGGTGCTCCAACCTGGCCTTGGGCACTGCCAGGGATCCAGGGGCAGCCCCAGCTGCTCTGGGAATTCCAGCCCAGGCAGGAATTCCTTGCCAAGATCCCAGCCCAATCTCCCCTTTCCCAGTGGGAGCCATTCCCTGGCTCCTGTCCCTGCAGGCCTTGTCCCTCTCCAGGTTTCTTGTAGACCAGGAATTCTCTGGGAATGTTCATCCTGCTGGGAGCTGAGCTATCCCCAACAGGAACAGGAAAATCACTCCAAAAAGGCCCCTCTGGCCCTGGATTTTATCCAAATTCTTCTTTTCCCCCTCAGCTCCGGGGACACGGAGCTGGGAGAGAACTCAGCTCCCCTCTGGGAGCTGCTCCCAAAAAAAGCTTCCAAAATTAAACAATAGAACTAAAATTATGGGGTTTGTGGAAGGAATGGGACCTGAGAATTCCCTGGGATATCAGCCCCCAGTGGGTGTTTGTCCCTCTGGGTCAATCCCTGGCTCCCTGGGCATTCCCAAGGTTCTCTCCTGAATTCTGTTAGCACAGAAAGTCTAAAATTCTCAGTAACCAGGTGTCATGGTTTTGCACAGGAGACATTTAGGGAAATGATGCAAAGCTGATAATAAAATTACTGATAATAAATTTTCCTTTATACCCCTTTAAGGCTTTGAGACTGCTTTGCCTTTCTCCTGCTCCTGTCTCACAGCAGGAGTGACAGCACTGGGGATTGGCCAGCACCAAACCCACCCCACTCCTTGGTGCCTTGGGCTGGGAAATCCCAAAATCGGTGAAATCACAAATTGGTGAAACCAAAACTGTGAAAACTCCCCCTGAGGTTCCCCTGATGGGGAGACTTTTTAGAAGTTCTGTGCTAGAGTTGAGAGATGAATGGGACTTTGGGGTTTTTTTGGTTTTCAGGTTGTTATTTTTTCTCTTATCAGCAGTTCAGCACACCATCTACACCCCAGACTTGGTGTACAAAGAGAAAGGTACTAAAAAAGTTGCAAGACACGCAGGTTTAAGGTTTTTAAAACTACTTTGTCCAATTAACTCTTAGAATGTATTTTATTTCTACATTTCTACCAATAAATAATTGTTTGTTCACACAACATCTGCACTGGGGCTCTTCTAACCAATCACTGTGCCACCAACACTGCAGAAAATGGCTGGAAAGGACCTCTGAGATCATTGAGTCCAGCCCAGGACTAAAGACTGCCATGCCAACTAGAGCATGGCACTGAGTGCCATGTCCATCCAGTCTTCCCTTGAGCACCTCCAGGGGTGGACTCCAGCACCTCCCTGGGCAGCCCATTTCAGTATCTCATCACCCTTTCTCTGAATAAATTCTTCCTAATGACCAGCCTAAACCTCCCCTGGTACACCTTAAGACTGTGTCCTCTTGTCTTCTCTGTGATTGCTTGGCAGAAGAGACCCACCCCAAGGAGATGAAGAACAAGAAGGAGATCAGACAATGCCCCAAATCCTCCATCTTTTATCCACCTCTGTGACCCTGTTCACAGGGGTCTCACGTTGAGGGAAGAGATGAGGATCTGACTCCATGTTTCAGAAGGCTGATTTATTATTTTATGATAAATATTACATTAAAACTGTACTGAAAGAATAGAAGAAAAGGTTTCATCAGAAGGCTGGCTAAGAATAGAATAGGAAGGAATGATAACAAAGGCTTCTGTCTTGGACTCTGTCTGAGACAGCTGGGCTGTGATTGGCCATTAATTAGAAACATCCAACATTGGCCAATCCCAGATGCACCTGTTGCATTCCACAGCAGCAGATAACCGTTGGGTACATTTTGTTCCTGAGGCCTCTCAGCTTCTCAGGAGGAAAAATCCTAAGGAAAGGATTTTCCATAAAAGATGTCTGCGACACACCTCCATACTAAAAATCCAAAAATACAGTTTTCAGCCTATGATAAACTACATTACTGCATTTCACACACTCGTAGATTCCAGTTCATCCCAAAATCTTGGAAGCTTTCTCCATGGAAGGTTAAAGCAGTGTTCTCCTGAAGGTGAGTGAGCACATCCCAGGACAGGCAGAGAAACATTCCCTGTGCCCTGGGCTCCACCAGAGCAGGGCTCCAGCAGGGCTCCTCTGTCTCTATAGGACACGAGAGAACACGAGCTCACACCGCTGTTCTCAAGGTGAAGACAGAAGGGAAGTTTATTTTCTGACTCCAACATTGATAGTTTTCCAAGAGTGACAGTGGATTGGAGGGTGACAGTGCCACCTCTCCAATGACACTGGACAAACCAACAGTCCATCAACTTTCTCTTCCTCCATAAAGGAATGCAAACCAATGAGTTATTTACAGAAAGTGTGCGAGAAAGTTCACTACAAGAATGTCAACATCTCAGAAGGCTTCGAAAAATCTTAAGAAACCAGGGTGACATTCCTGACTTTTCCCTGCTCCCCCAGGCACTACCCGGCCTTGAAGACCCTGGAGCACCTGGAGCACACCTTCCTGCCCCAGGTGAGCCACTACCGCTTCTGCAAGGTGATGGTGGACAACATCCCGCGGCTGCGCGAGGAGATCAAGGAGCTCTCCATGTCCGACCTCAAGGACTTCCTGGAGAGCATCCGCAAGCACTCGGACAAGATCGGAGAGACCGCCATGAAACAGGTGGGGTTTGGGATCAGAGTGCCATGAAACAGGTGGGGTTTGGGATCATCTGGTGGGGTTTGGGATCAGAGTGCCATGGAACAGGTGGGATTTGGGAACATCTGGGGGGATTTGGGATCAGAGTGCCATGGAACAGGTGGGATTTGGGATCAGAGTGCCATGGAACAGGTGGGATTTGGGAGGGAATTGAGATCAGGCTGCCATGGAACAGGTGGGATTTGGGGGGGAATTGAGAACAGGCTGCCATGGAACAGGTGGGATTTGGGGGGGAATTGAGAACAGGCTGCCATGGAACAGGTGGGATTTGGGGGGATTGGGATCAGTGAGACTGTCATGGAACAGGTGGGATTTGGGAACATCTGGGGGGATTTGGGATCAGAGTGCCATGGAACAGGTGGGATTTGGGGGGGAATTGAGATCAGGCTGCCATGGAACAGGTGGGATTTGGGGGAATTTGGGGGGATTGGGATCAGTGAGACTGTCATGGAACAGGTGGGATTTGGGGGCATTTGGGGAAATTGGGATCAGACTGCCATGGAACAGGTGGGATTTGGGGGAATTTGGGGGAATTGGGATCAGTGAGACTGTCATGGAACAGGTGGGATTTGGGGGCGTTTAGTGGAAAGCAAGGTCTGCAAGATCACCATGGAACAGGTGGGATTTGGAGGTGTTTGGGGGGATTGGGATCAGACTGCCATGGGACAGGGGGGATTTGGGATCAGAGTGCCATGAAACGGGGGGGATATGGGGAATTTGGGGGGATTTGGGATCAGAGTGCCATGGAACAGGTGGGATTTCAGGGGAATTGAGATCAATGAGACTGCCATGGAACAGGTGGGATTTGGGGGAATTTGGGGAAATTGGGATCAGACTGCCATGGAACAGGTGGGATTTGGAGGAATTTGGTGGGAATTGAGATTGGAGACACTGCTATGAAACAGGTGGGATCTGGGGACATTTGGGCATCAAGGACAGTGAGACTGCCATGGAACAGGTAGGATTTTGGGGGAATTTGGTGGAAAACAAGGTCTGCGAGACCACCACGAAACAGGTGGGATTTGGGGGCCTTTGGTGGGAATTGTCCATTTTTTGGGAAGAGGTTGGATGTTCATTTGTTGTATGGAAGTTCTTCTTCTCCAAGCCAAGGCTCTGGAATGAGTTTGGGATTTTGTTGCTGCATGAGGAGTGGTTGTTCCTTCCCTGGTTACTCCTGGAGTTTTATCCTGGACTTCATTCTGGAGTTTTATCCTGGATTTGGCCATTGAGAAGTGAGGATCCGTTGCGTCCTTGGCATCTCCCAGCTGGAGTTTTCCATGATTTTGTGGCAGTCTGGGATGTTCAGTTGGGGGTGGAACTGATGCCTTGTGAAAGCTTAGCTAGAATAGAGACCAGAATAAAGAATAAAGCAGGGATTTATTAAAAAGATCCTCTCCATGGATCCACGTTGGGCAGCACCAGAGCCCAGCCAGGGCTGCACCCAAGATGAACCAAAATGGTCCCAAAATGAACCCAAGATGAACCCAAATGGTCCCAAGATGAACCAAAATGGTCCCAAATGAACCCAAGGTGAACCAAAATGGTCCCAAAATGAACCCAAGGTGAACCAAAATGGTCCCAAAAGGAACCCAAGGTGAACCAAAATGGTCCCAAAATGGACCCAAGATGGACCAAAATGGTCCCAAAATGAACCCAAGATGGACCAAAATGGTCCCAAAAGGAACCCAAGGTGAACCAAAATGGTCCCAAAATGAACCCAAGATGGACCAAAATGGTCCCAAAATGCACGAGCGCTCCCAGGGTCTCTCCCTTGGATCAGTTCTGCTCCATTTGCATCTTGCAGTTCATTGTCCCATTCCAGCTTTAGCCCCTGCAGTCCCATCCTTGTTTTTCTCTCTGCAGCCCACGGGGTTTGTGCTCCTGGGCTGAGATTTGGGTCATTTGTCCTTGGTGCCCAGCTGGAGCAGGAATTGTTTTGTCTCCCTGCTCTGTGCACAGAGCTCACCATCCCCTGATGTGAACCCAGACCCTCACAGTAAAGCAGCACAGAATGTGAAAAATACAAGAACTAAAACCTGAGGCACCACAACTCCCCATAACTCCATTTTCCACTTGCATTTTCCACTTTCCTGCACAGGGAATTGGTGCTACTGGGAGACCTGGAGACATTGGGTTGATTCTGCAGTTTTGGGATAAAAAACCAAGAGTTTGTGCACTGGAATTCCATGAATTTTGCATCCTAAACTGATTTTAAATCCAGCCCAAACCTGGCTGGTGCCTCTGTTGCCTTTTCCAGTGGTTGTGTCTGTGAAGGCTGAGCTGATGAGCTGAAGCTCCCTGGCTGTGCCCTAAATCAGGAATTGCCTTTCCCACTCCCACTGAATATTTGGATTTCATCTCATGCCAGCAGAGCTGGGAGAGGCTCTGGAGTTGCTCTCCAGGAGGGTTTTGGATCTTTGCTGGAATTCAGGAGCAGGGGCAGGGAGCTGTTCCTGCCAGGGGCACTGAGATCCTTCCCTGGTGCTGATGGATGCCTGGGAATGCTTGCTTGGAATTCTCCAGGAGCTGCTGGGATTTTGCTGTCGTGTTTATGGGCAGAGACAAATTCAATTTTGTGTCTTTCAAACCCCAGCCTTTCTCTGGAGCAGCCTAACTTGAGGAGTTCATTAATTAATTTAATTCCCTGTATTTCAGTGCCTTTTTATTTTCCCAGCTCTTTCCTGGGTTTTTTTGGGAAAGCAAACCCAGCCTTCCCTCATGGACTGGAGCTGTGGGGAGGGGCCGGTTGGCACCTGAGAGTTCAGCAAACTTTTCATTCAGATTAAACTTCCTGAAGGTGCAGAAAGCCCTCCCAACCCAAATGTGCATCCAGCTGTGCACAGAGGTGATGTCTGGGAGGGCTCCAGGAGCTGGATTTACCTGAGGCAGCAATTCCTAGAGCAGAATTCCCTTTAAAATTCTCCTTTAATTCCTTGTGGAGGCAGAGCTTTGGGAAGATCCTTCCTTGGTCCCTGTGGCTGGGAAGGAGCAGGAATTCCATTTCTATTTAGTGTCCAATTAATGCAGGGAACACTTTATGTAATTATTTAATATTTTTAAATCACCTGAAGGATATTTATCAATTTTAGGAACATCACAGGGTGGAGGTGTTGTCTGGTAGTTTCCAGTTCCATGTTCAGGTTTCTGGCAAAGGATTCCAATCTCCTGGCTCTGTGCTGATGGGTGAGGAGGGATGTGGACATCCAACCACATCTGTGGATTTTAGGTGAAAAATTTGGAGAAATTTCCATCATCTCAGCATCTTTTTTTCTCTTCTGTTTGGAGAAACTTGTGTACTTTTGTTTCCATCCCTTCCCAATCCACAGCTCTGCTCTTCCCAACCCTGCTGCTCCTGTGGCTCTGTTCCTTCTTGTGGTGGTTTTTGTTTGCTAATTTGAAATTTTGCTAATTTTGAGATTTTTGGTTAATGTACTAATGAGTGTGGTGGGTTTAGTGTTGGCTGATTTTTAGTGTACTTATTTTTTTGCTGTGAGGTAGGATTAGGAGAAAGGTAAAGTAGGCTTAAAATTTTCAAAAGGTATAAAGAAAAAATTATTGACAGGAACTGAAAAAAAAGTAATAAAAATTAGAACAAAACCTTCAGAATAGTTTTCTAAAAACTTTACATCACTTCCATAAATATCTCCTCCACAAAACCAAAACACTTCTCCATCTCTCACTGCAGGGGAATCCTGTGGCTTCTCCTGGTGTTTTCCTCCTCCTCCTCCTCCTCCTCGCTCCTGCCCAAAGCCAGGGATGGGGGCAGTGAGGGGGAGCAGCCTGGAATGAGGGGTCACAAAAAAAAATTCCCTGGAAATAACAGGGGGAAGTGAATTCTTCATCCTGTGGGGGACAGAGCTGGGGAGCAACTCGTGCATGGTTCTCATGGGATGGGTTGGGATGGAAGGGACCTTAAAATCATCAATTCCACCCCTGCCATGGCAGGGACACCTCCCACTGTCCCAGGTGGATCCAAGCCCCAGTGTCCAACCTGGCCTTGGGCACTGCCAGGGATCCAGGGGCAGCCCCAGCAAATCTGGGAATTCCAGCCCAGGCAGGAATTCCTTGCCAAGATCCCAGGCCAATCTCCCCTTTCCCAGTGGGAGCCATTCCCTGGCTCCTGTCCCTGCAGGCCTTGTCCCCAGCCCCTCTCCAGCTCTCCTGGACCCTTTGTCTTTCATTTTCCTATGGATGATAAAGGGAATTTTGCACCTTCCAGCTTCTCCAAATCCCAATTCCCTGCTGTTTTATGGGAGCAATGTGCAGACTTCAGGAGGGTTTGTGGGAGCAGATTTATCTCCAGGTTGGAGTCTGTGCTTTGGGGAGGGAGCTCCCTGTGCCATTTCCCCTTGGAAAAGCTGATTTGGAGCCATCTGGAATGGGAGCACGGGGCTGTGTCCATCCCACAGCTCCATGGAAGGGCAGGGGGAGCAGCTGGGGCTGCTGTGGTGGGGGTCACTGGGACAGGGTGTAAAGAGAGAGAGGGAGAGGGGTGAGGGGGAGAAAGAGAGGGAGAGAGAGGAGCCCTTGGAGTCAGAGCTGGATCCCCATGGAGGTAACAATCAATGCTGGCTTATTGCAAACCTGAGGGTTATATTTATTTATTTATTTTTATTTGTATGGTAATTTATTTATTACATTTATATGGTAATGCAGGGTTCAGGATGTGAGAACCCCAGCCCCTGATTTTTTATCATGCTCACTTCATGACTCACTTTCTCTTTAATTATCCAACCCAAACTTCTGTCATTTGTATCAATAATTCCCCCCTCTAGCAAACCACCCATCGCTCCAAGCACTGCCCCCTGAACCTGACCATCAACTTAAGATTCTTCAACCAATTCTGAAGCCCATCCTTCCTAGGAATCCCACTAATCCTCATCTCAATAACATTCCCAGCTCTCTTACTACCCTCCCTAGACAATCAATGAATTACTGACAGACTCTCAACCCTCCAGCCATGG